ATTCTGAAGTCATTATGTGTAGACAAATTTTAAAAAAAGAGGTTATTTACTTACACATTAAAACACATTTTTTTGTTGGATGAGTTAATTATTGCAAGAATTTCAAATAACATCTTAGATTAATAGTAACATGAAAAAACACTCAGGTAAATGTTAACATGTCCCATTTCATCTCCATGTTACCTCTGTGACCTCCAAAAACCAGTTACCTGATAATCACAATGAGTAAATATAAAGATTGCAGATATTGAACAGTTAAGTTGTCTAAGCTGACATCAAGATGATCAAAAACGCAGCTCTGGCAATGATGTTCTCACATGGAATGAATCTTTCTAGCGATGTGTTGGAAATAAGAAGAGGAACAAACAATCAATAATGCATGGGTAAATTATCTTGATGGGAACAGAGTTCCCAAGGAATTCAGAAGGAAGATTACACACAGATACACAGTAGGTCCAGCGACTTAAATAAAGAAACAACTTAAATTTCCTCTAAATAGGAACAATTCCCTAAAACAACAGTCATCAGAGTTTGTCAAAAAAACATCCATGGCATTCTGACTACCATTTGGCTGTATTTTGAGCTTAACTTTGTAAACAGTCTTCAAACAGTATTTTAGAAGGAACACATTGACAATGCCATCTCTTGGGTAGTGGGCTCAGGGGAAAGAGGTCTGAGTGTGATGTGGGAATGGCAGAAATTTCCAAGATGAGAATGATTGCATCACTCCAACTACATCCCTTTGTGGCTATTTCTCCACTGACTCAGGATCTAATCACTTTACCATAAATTCTCCCCATCCCCACTGTGATCAGGATTTTCCCAGGGGTAAAAACACACTGGATGAAGACCCAGCTGATATTGTGTGAGCAAAAGGCAAGCAAACAAACAAACATAATAAAGAGACTATAGTTGTTAGCTCCAAACATAAACTGCTTTTCTGGAACTGAGCAACCTCACAGTGACGCGTCTGCCTAAAATCAGATGAGTGAAAGCAAATGCCACTTAGTTGTTCATTTAGCAAGTGTCCTGGATCAAGGTTTACTTCACATCCCCTGATCTCTTCATCTTTTGGGGCTAGTGTCAAAATTGTCCTCACTTAGCTCCAGGTTAGCTGCCATTATTATACATTTTTTTTAAATGTGCCTTAGAAATTAAAGACTAAATTCTTTCTCAACCAGAAACATTAATGTTCTCCAGTGTTTTCTATTGGAAATGTTTGGAGCATCCCCAGAAACAAGGAATCAAACACATGTGAAGTCAGATAATGTAACAACATGCATAAGACCTAAACAGATTTAAACTGGACAAAATCCTAGCACTCAGAAAGGAAAGTAGACACAAAATCCCACTCCCAACCAAGAAGTTATGAGCTATTGATACCTGATGGGAAAGGAAAAAATCAGTTTTTCCAGTGGAGTGTCATGGGAACACCAACCGCAATCCAGGGCAAGCCCCATGATCAGGAGTAGTTGACCAACACAAAAGGGACTCTGCTTTTTGTGTGTGTGTGTTCTTTTGGTTTTGTCTTGGTAATCTTTGTTATGTGGAATTTCTTATTTTTTCAGTTTGTTTGTTTTTATTTCCTATAACAGGATGACAATATTGTTAATAGATATTACTGATATTTAGCCTAACCCTACTGGAACTCATACAGTGGAATACCATGCAAGAAATATTTTCTTTATTTAGTGATTAAAAAAATGAGGCTTGTGAGGTAAAGAAAAAGTTCATTTTAGATGCCTAGGAGCCCATGTATCTACAGATTGGCTGACATGATTCCTACATGAGTACAAACCATAGAGATGACATAAAAATCATACCAAAGGTTGTAATGAGATAATGATCAGACTTCCTTATCACTAGTTTCTGCTTATAATTTTGCATATTAATTTTGTCTTCACATGAAATAAATAAATCTGAAAAATAATGACTATATCCCCACAAAATTTTCCTGTGTTTTAACATTTTAACATTACATCATGATCCAAGATGCATTGAATGCATTGTCAAATGTACCTTTTGTATCAAATGAGTTTTATATCAGGTCCCATAGCATAAATTGGGCAACTGAGGCTGAGGATCATTTCCTCTAAGATTAATATGGATTATGAATTTTCCAATATTTTTAAAGTAAAATTAACATTACACTAAACCTCTGGAAAAAGATGAGCGTTAGCTCAGAGTTGGAGGAGGGAAATGGGGATTGAATATGATCATATTTTATCATATATGTAGATGAAATATACACTGATATAATTGTCCAAACATGAGCAAGGACAATGCCAATAGACATTCCAAACTGGATAGGAAAACTCAAGTTATCCCAACCCTACACAAAAAAAACTACAGGCAACTAAGGAATGATGAGAGGAGGAGAAGTAGTCTTCCCCAGGGAAAAGCATACCTATTGCTATCCAACAGCAAAGGGTCATCCTGAAAACATACATACAAGTAACAGTGTACATACTAAGCAAGTTATACACAGAGATATTTATGTATATACATATGCACATATACATACATACAATAATAATGAAAAAAGATGTAATGAATTTGAAAGAGAGCAAGGATGTATATGTGTGAAGGCTTGAAGGGAAGAAAGAGAAAGGGGAAATGTAATTATATTATATTCTCAAATAAAAATTAAAATAAAGTCTCAAGAAATAAAATACAATGGAGAAATATTGCTGCCTTAATCAAATTTTTAGGATAACACACTTCTTCAGTAAGTAGTGAAATTATTCTTGTTAGGGAAATGAGTATACATTGTCATTTGTCTCAAATATATCACAGGCCATTCCTGTAATATTCTATATTTTACTCAACAATATAGTCTAATCCCAAGCCTATCTGTCTCCAACTCCCAAAGTTCAGAAATTAATGAATAGCCTTTATGAAGTAGAGAAAGCATAGAAATCTGAATACTTACTTTCATTATTTAACTGTCTAACTCCTACAATATGTCACAAAAGTGTTCCTTCTCTGGTTCTCCAAATTGCTGCAATAAACTTGTGAAAGCATGTGCTCAAATAATCCCTCTCCAAGATTCCTGGCTCTCATGTCCTGGCTTACATCTCAGGATGTCCCTGCTCTGATCTGCACTCTATCTTCCTGTTGTAGGTAAGAATCCCTGTAAGTGATCACAAATCTAGAAGGGTTTAAATATGAGCTCGATGCAATAATGGCTAATAATGATTTCTTCTTTCTTAAAATCTGGGAACACATCACAATTCTCTGTTATTAATGCATGTGTCACTGAACTCAGCCTGGTCTTCAAATTATCTCCCATGTTAATGCATTTCCAAACTCCCCTATCCGCACATGTATTAAGTAAATCTTGGAGAACTAAGGAAACTTGATTAAATCTTTTGGGTACTTAAGTCATGTCACAAGTTCACAGCACAAGCTATGAATGACTGCAATCTCCAACTCTCTCAACGTTGTTCATCCTATCTTGTAGCACATTTTTTTAATGTAAAGGCAATAATAAGCAACAGAATTTTTGACGAGTGGTGATCAACTATCCATCATGATTAATTTCATTATTACAAGCATCTTAACTTCCTGCTGCCTCTGATTATGTCCTTTGTGAAGAAATATGCTATCCTTTCTCCATCCCTACTCTCTTCATTAGTGTCATCCTGGACAATGCTACAATTACCTGTACAGGTTTTGTATTAGCAACATTTCAATCTTCTCTGTTCAGTTTTAAAACTTCCATGCTGTTTTTCAACTATTTACAAAGATTCTAAGAATGACTGATTTACTGTCATATCATTAATTTCAAATATTGTGATGTCTATGTACTAATCATCATTCTATAAATTTAATTGTTTCAACAAAAACTGCATTTAGGGGCCCCCAACTGGATCAGGCCCTCTGAATAGGTGAGACAGTTGATTGGCTTGATCTGTTTGGGAGGCATCCAGGCAGTGGGACCGGGTCCTGTGCTCAGTGCATGAGTTGGCTGTTTGAAACCTGAGGCTTATTCAGGGACGCTTGGCTCAGTCTGGGAGGAGGGGACTGGACCTGCTTGGACTGAGTCTACCAGGTTGATCTCAATCCTCGGGAGAGTCTTTGCCCTGGAGGAGATGGGAATGGGGGGTGGACTGAGGGGAAGAGGAAGGGGTGGGAGGGGGGAGAGCAAGGGAATCCTTGGTGTTTATGTAGAATTAAATTATATTGTAAAGTAAAACAAAATTTAAAAAAACTGCATTTAACATGAAATCCTCAAAGACTGGAGCCACTATTGTCTCCAGAAATGAACACAATCATCAGAGTCTGGCTATTATTACTCTGACATCTGCCTCAACTCTTCACCTTCCCAGTCTTCACCTGTTCAACTTCAATTCATATACATGGTGTGGTTAGACTCTGGTCTGAATTATATCTTGGTTTCTCAGCTCAGTGGTGACCACTTCTGTCTTATCTCCACCAACATGTTGCATCACAGATTTAGGGTTTTTGCTCATAGAGACAGAAGAGGTTATAGATACACAGTAAAGACAGATTCAAAAAAAAAAAAAAAGCTCCAAACAGGTCACAGTGTTTTTAAAACTTTATGTATGCTTGGGAAAGGAAAGAAAATGATAGAAAAAGTCCTTTAAAAAGGAATAGAGTAATAAAAAATATGGTAAGCCACATATAGATGAGAATACACAGAGAGTCTGCATCCTGTCTGGTATTGTGTTGTCTTTGAAAATTTTGGCTGCTAAGAGATATTAGATTATGGAAACTACTGGATAAAATCAACATATATATTTTAAAAACATGTTGACTTCAAAATTTAAGTCAAAAGGTATGGTACTTTAGGGGAGAGGTTATACTTTTTTTCCCACAGGAAATAAGAGGCTATACTAAGGGAAATCAGGTTTGATTGAGGAAGACCTCCTGAAAACCCTGGCTACAAACATAAAATAATAATTCTAAAAGACCTATAAGACACATGATGTATATTTTACCTGCTCAAACACATAACAAAAAAATCTTGAGTGGTGCTGGGAGTCTCGTGTTCATGGTGCCGTTCGCAGTCGGGCGGCGGCTGAGGCTCAGCGCACTGCGCAGGTAGCGCGTTAGCAGCAGTAGCAGCAGCGGAGGCACCTGGGCGGTCACAGCCCCCTGCGCTGGTGCAGCCACCCTCGCCTGCTCCGCTCTTCCTTCCTTCGCTCGCACCATGGCTGATCAGCTGACTGAAGAACAGATTGCTGAATTCAAGGAAGCTTTCTCCCTCTTCGATAAAGATGGCGATGGCACCATCACAACAAAGGAACTTGGGACTGTCATGAGGTCACTGGGTCAGACCCCAACAGAAGCTGAGTTGCAGGATATGATCAACGAAGTGGATGCTGACGGGAATGGCACCATTGACTTCCCAGAGTTCTTGACCATGACGGCTAGAAAAATGAAAGATACAGATAGCGAAGAAGAAATCCGCGAGGCATTCCGAGTCTTTGACAAGGATGGAAATGGTTACATCAGCGCAGCGGAACTGCGCCACGTCATGACAAACTTAGGAGAAAAACTAACAGACGAAGAAGTAGACGAGATGATCAGAGAAGCAGACATCGATGGAGACGGACAAGTCAACTATGAAGAATTCGTACAGATGATGACTGCAAAATGAAGACCCACTTTCAACTACTTTTCCCTCTAGAAGAATCAAATTGAAATCTTCTACTTACCTCTTACAAAAAAAAAAAAAAGAAAAAAGAAAAAAGTTCATTTATTCATTCTGTTTCTATCTAGCAAAACTGAATGTCCAACGTACCTTCTGTCCACACACAAAATCTGCATGTATTGGTTGGTGGTCCTGTCCCCTAAAGATCAAGGCCCCACATCAGTTTTCCAGTATAAATACTCATACTACCTTATGAGGGAGCACTTAGTGGACTCCTTCACGTTCCATTTGCTAATGATTACTACACTGTTTGGGCTGGCCAGTTTCTCATGCATGCAGCTTGACAATTGAGCACAGTCAGGCCTTTGTATTAAAACGGAAAAAATGGACAAAACAAATTCAAACCCTCAGATGGGTTCTACAATTTGTTCTGATAAATTGTCAGTAGCCAGTTTACTGCAAACAGACATTTAAAATTGGTTTACCTCAGGATGATGTACAGAAAATGGGTGAAGGCTAAACTCTGAGACACAGCCCCAGAAATAGGACGGCCCTCTTGTTCTTCAAGTGCTCCAACCCCATGGTGACAGTGACACCCTGGTGGCATGCCCGAGGATAATGGTTTAGCGCTGTGTGCATTGTACTAGAGTGAAGTAAACATCAAGGCTGTCACCAAGTCACACAAATTTTTAATAAGAAATGTTTACCAGGGGAGCATCTTTGGACTCTCTGTTTTAAAACCTTGTGAACCATGACTCGGAGCCAGCAGAGTAGGCTGTGGCTGTGGACTTGAGCACAACCATCAACATCGCTGTTCAGGAAATGATAAGTTACGTCCATTCCAAGTTGTAAATGCTAGTCTTTTATTTTTTTTCCAATAAAAAGACCATTAACTTAAAAAAAATCTTTAACTGACTTGTGTACCATGCACAATCTATATTTGTATTAATATAAACCTGTATGTTACCCTTAAAATTTTATAAATTTTCAGAGCAAGGAGACCAGACACCAATGAAAATGATAGCCCAGGTGGCCCACCATCCAGAGTATCTTTTAGGTTTCTGACTCACAGAACACTACAGCCAAGACTTAACAGTTATCTTAAATTTTCTCTGCCTTCCTGGTAGATAGCCTCCAAATTCATCAGCCCTGTCCTTTACCCTGAACTCTCCATTCTAGGGACTGGACTCTCCTTAAAAGTGTTCTATTACCAATTGTGTAAATCCTGCCTGTGATCCTGATATGTATATTGTAATCAGACAGTTTCCATATGTACTTTTGTCAGTTAATCTGGTATGGGAATCTTGCTATATATGCAATGAAACAGGTTGCTACTTCCCTCTCATTGACCAAATGGTTCACTGGTTGCTTTGATTACAATTTTGAGAACTATGTCAGCTTCAGCTACAGCTTTGGTTTAGCAGATGCATACCATTAATCAGGCAAACTCTTTATTTATAAGTATTTCATTACCATTGGCTACTCAGAAAGATTGATTGAAGACTAACGTTTAGAGCTAATGCATTATAAGAAATTATTTATATGGGGACTCAGATTCAAAATATTAAGACACATTTAACAACATTATGTCATACTAACTATAAATGCATTTGTTACTCCTATTGGAGGGTTCATTAAGGCAACTCCATGTAGTTAAAAGGAGGTTTATTTTGGGGGGCAACTTACAGCTGGTAAAGGGGTTGGTTACAGGATCTGGGAGAGGTGAGGTACAGTCCAGTTGGGTTCTCTGGAGAGTTCTGCTTGGTCTAAATTAGTCAAAAATTTTGTAAAAAATAACTCTTTATGGAGTTTTCTTATTAATTTGGGAATCATTGGATGATTAATTATTCTATTCTATTCCTCTTCCAGTCATCTTCAGATGTTTAAAATCTGCAGTATGCTCTGCCTAGAGGGAGATTCAGGTGGTTCATTGAATAAACAAAATGGGAGGATATTCCAGTAGCCATGTGAGAGGAACAGAAGGTGGCAATTGAAGTTCAAGGTATCAATCCACCAGGAGGAAACTGATGAGTGAATCTCATTTAGGCAAGGCCACAGGACTACAGACCCCAGCATATTTTTAACTTCTGTGCCTTTTCATGTTTGCTGTGGCTATCTTTCTCTGGTCCTTAGCATGGTGCTAATGAGTTTGGGGAGATCCCCATTGCCTGTGATGTAGTATGTTTATCTCATGGAAATATCCCATTTTACTGGGTATTTTTGTCTGTGGATTGTCATGAAGATAATTCCTCCCTAAACTGTACTAATTGATAATAATAATTATAGCTTATACAGAATTTTGATGAATAAAAGTAAATACAAGGATATGTTTTACAGCAATGACCTACAAGTTTCACATAAGGAGCTTCTTTAGGTCATAGCTCAGGTTAATGATTAAGAAAAAGAGTTGGGTCTCCAGGAGCCAGGCTGACTCTGATACTGAAGAGATGAAGTCACAGGTTTTGTTGTAAACCATTAGCTGAAACAAAACCTCAAAATAACTTCAGGTTACACAAGATGACTTGTTAATGTTTTTTAAGATAAAGAATCCCACAAAAACAATCTGAAGTTCACAAGGACACATAGCTGAGCTGTCTGATTCATTAGGCTAGGGTTGTAAACACAAAAGAGTCCACTTGGTAATTCCTTGCACCCATTCTTGACATAAATTTTCTGATATGGGTATGCACCCTGAATATTTAAAGTTCAGCTGACTGACTGTTTTTTTTTTTTTATGTATAAAAGTTTAGGTTTGTGACTCCTTATAAGATTACCTTTCAAGATAGATAATAAAATGATTGATTCTTTCTTTGTAACTGCAATTTGTAGCCTATTAACAAAAGGGTTGTCTGAGAAAAATATACTCCTTGCTTGCTCATGATCTATTAATCTGTGACAAATTACTTAGATATATTATCTGTGGGTTGTCAGGATGACTGTTTTTAATCATGTATGGGATATAAAAATATGTTTTTACCTATAATCATTCACTTAAAAATGGAATGTAACATCTTTGTGACTCCTGTATTGCCTAAAAGAGTTTGTTGGGGTATATAAGCTGTAGAAAGACATGAACAAAAGAGAATGAAAAAATAAAGAAGGAAATTATCAAGGAGTGTGTCAGTGTTTTTTTCCCTAAACCCTTCAGATAGAAAAGTTTTAGCATATGCTGATGCTGTGGATTCCTTTTGAGCCCTGAGCTACCTGAAGGCTGGTCCCCCAGATGGCAATATAATCTCCTTCAGAGATATGTTGGACATTGAAAATACTCCATATGGAGTTTGTTTTCTTTATGGCAAAAGCTAGTCATGTGGGCAAATAAAATCTCTTCCCTCAATTGCTGACAGTTACTGTCCAAATTGGACCAGCAGGACACAAGAAAGGTGACTGCTCAACTTTCCCAGGACAAGGTAGGACAGTCCTTCAAATTTCCTTGCTTCACAGTAAAGTCTATCAGATATGTTGTAGGCCAGAGTTGGATACCCCATCATTACAGAGGAACTTTCAGTGACTGTCCAGGCAACTTGATGTCCCTGTTATTAGGTAACATTTCAACTTTCTGGGATCTTTGATGGAATTAAAGACTAAATAGTTAAACTTATAGTTTTCCTTAGTTATGACAAAAAGCAAATTAGGTATAAAATTTTAAAGTCACCAAGATAAGATAGATAATAAAGTATTTTCTCTAATTTTGCCAAATACGAATAGACTGGATATTGTAACTGTAATTTTTACTTGATAACTTTTTTTGTTGTATATAATTTTACTATGTTAAAGTTAAAACTTTCCTTTTTAACTAGACAAAAAGGGGGAAGTGCTGTGGAATAATTCTTCTGTACACTGTGTGTTCACATATGTTATTATGATTGGTTTAATAAGCAAGCTGATTGGCCAATACCTGAACAGGATAAAGTTAGGTGAGAAAGCCAAACTGAGAATGATGGGATGAGGAAGGTTGGAATCAAAGAGTCACTAGCCAGATGGAGAAAGGGTCAGACATAGAAAATGGGATAGAAGTAAAAGTCATGAGTCTTGGAGCAGTACATAGGTTAATAGAAATGAGTTAAGTTGAAAGAGCTAGTTAGTAACATGCCTGAGCTACTGACTAAGCATTTATTGGTTGTTTCAACTATTGCAATTTAATAGTGTCTTAGATTAACAGAAACATATTTTATTTGCAAGTAATTTTAATGTCACCTAATTCCAATTGGTGTCATCTCTGTGATCTGAAAAAGCCAGGTCTCCACTGGGTCCCCACCCCTACCCCCAGAGCTCAGGAAACCCAATGGAAGAAAGAGGAAAATATGTAGGAGCCAGTGGAGAACATGGCCCACAGACTTCTACTAAGTAGGGCTCATAGGGGCTCACAGAGACTGAAGAGGCATGGGTCTGTGCTAGGTTATCGGCTGGCATATATGTTATGGTTATGTTATTGTTAGCTTGATATTTTGTGAACACCATCTATTCTTACTTTCACCAGTTATTTAACTTTTCTGAACTCATTTTCACTCGCTAATAAAACAGAAATAATCATATTAGTTTCTTCATTTAAACTGAGCTGTAAGAGTTTATTAGTAGGTCTAAGAAAAAATTCAAAGCCTAATAAACTGTACTTACCCATGATTCCAAAGTCAAACATGATGCAAAATAATAAACATAAAATTTTAAAAATAAAAAAATCATTAATTTTAACTTGCATGACATTCTTTGTATCATAAGGAAACCTTATAGGAGGGATTGAGGTCTTTATGCTAAACAATGAGTACTAGGGGAACCTGGAATGTTAAGCATGTGGGATTGTTCATTCAAAGGAAGAGATGCTATACCTATTATCTGCCCAGAAGGCTGGGAGCAGATGTGTTTACTAAGCTGGTAACCTTTTCTATATCTCTGTGGCTAGAAACTCTTCTCGCACTGAATCCTCCTTCAACCCTTATTGTAAATTTATTTTTCTTTTTTTTTTTTTTTTTTTTTTTTTTTGGTTTTTCGAGACAGGGTTTCTCTGTGTAGCTTTGCGCCTTTCCTGGAACTCACTTGGTAGTCCAGGCTGGCCTCGAACTCACAGAGATCCGCCTGGCTCTGCCTCCCGAGTGCTGGGGTAAATTTATTTTTCTTATTCAATGTATAGATCTGATCCTTGT